ATTTTCTAGAATTTTAAATTATTATTTATGAAAATAATAATTGAATTCCTTAAAAAAATTGTATTATTTATGAAAATATTTGAATTCCTGTGAAATTTTTATTATTTATGAAAATAATTAAATGTTTGCATACAATTTTATTAAAATGTTTTTTAAATAATTGAATTCTTTTGGGTAAATTTTATTAAAATAGTAGATATTGAAAATCATTGAAATTAGAAAAATGCATTTTATTTTTGAAAATAATTGAACTTTGGAGAAGAATTTTGTTATTTATAAAGATAATTGGTATTTTTACGAATTTTTTTTCAAATTTTGTACATAGTTCAATTTTATAAGCAGAATTTTATATATTTTTTTTTTTTGAAAATAATTGAATTTTTGCAATTATTTGTAATTAATTCAATATTGAATTTTTTTTAGTGTTTTCAACAAAAATTTAAATAAGAAAATTTTCAAATTCTATTATTTTTAAAATTGCTAATTTTATTTTAAAAAAAGGTAGTAAGAAGTTAGCCGCGCGAATTGTTGCTAGTAATGTATTAAAAATTTTGGAAAAAACAATAAAATATGAAAATGTAGAAAAGAAGTTTATTTTTCAAAAAGGTTAAAAACACAAACTCGTTTTCTTTAATATTTTATTTCAAATTGAAAATATATTTTCTAAATATTAAAAATTGCAAAAAAAAAGAAAAAAAATTCAAAAGATGTTTGCGTCAATTTGTCTCACAATAGATAATCTCTCTTTTGATAAATAATATTAGTAATGCTACTATTTATACGCAATGATTATACATTTTACAATATTTCTCACCAAGAGTTGAAGATCTTTTGCAAAAAAAGAAATTATTAATTCAATCTTTGCTATTATATCGTGACATAAAGATGATTTCATAAAATACAATAAGTGTACGAAAATATTTACACTTACGTCACTTTTTCCTCAATGAATAATACAGTCACGTAAAGAAATCGCACCTTGCATTCGGAGAATTCACATCAGATTCAGTTTTTGCCTTAGAGAAACAATCAGAATTTTTTTTTTAAATTCAAGACTGCTACAGTTATTCTCAAAAAAATACTTCCGGTAGTAAAGGATACTACAAAAGAACCGTATTTTATAATCTGAGAATGCTCATCTTATTAATTTATTAAATTTATTTACTATAAAGTTTTGCATTAAGACTACAATCTGCGCTGGTAATTTAAAAAAAAATATTACCATCAATAATAAATTTTTTCTATAAAAAATACTGTTAAATATATGAAAAAAACTAATAAAATTTTATGATTCACAATTTAAAAAAATTATTATTTTTTAATCACAGAGGCTATCAAGTGGAATTATGTTAATATAATTAATTTAATCAATTAATTTTAATTTCCTAATTCGTCAATGTAACACAATAATTGAGAAATAAAATGAGTTGTGAAATAAAAATGTAAAATACTAATTAATAAACTTGATTTGATCATGGTATTATTAATTATTTTTCAATTAATTATAACATTGTTGAGAAATGTAGAATGTTCATTTACATTATTATTTTACTAATATTAATTATTATTATTATTATTATTATTATTATTATGCAATTATGCAATTTACAAAATTTTTTACTTTAAAATATAAACTTCAATTTTTACTTTTCAAATTCAAAATCCAAAAATAAATTCACTTTTTAGATGATTAACTAATTATTTATTATCATTAAATATTTTCCAAAATTTGGATAACATTTTTGGCAAGAATTGAATTATTTTCTTAAATAAAAAAATTCATAGTAGAAATTCAATTATTTTCAATAGAATTATTGAAATTAAATTCCTCGAAGAATTTAGGTATTCAATTAATTTCTTAAATTCTTAATAATAATTAAAACTTGCTACTTTGCTATGTAACTTCTTCAAAAATTATTTTCATCATTACGATTATTCATTTCTAGAATTTTCAACAAAAATTCTTCTTCAAGTCAATTTTTTTTTTATAATTTTTGAAAAAGTTCTTTGTAAATTTTCAAATTCTTTTGTTTACAATTTAATTTTACGAAATTTCGATTATTCTGACATTCTTCAATTAAATATATTAGAAATTAAAAACTTCAAATAATTAAAAAAAATTCCATTAAACTTTTTGAGAAAAATTAATTTGATAGAATTCATAATTAAAAGTATGAAAAGTTCAAATATTCAAAGATTTTAATTTGAAATACATTTTTAAATTAATATTTATTAGAAAATTCCACAAAAATTCAATTATTTAACTATAAAAATAAATATTTTATTAAAGAATTGAATGTTTCTTAAAATTCAATTTTCATAAAGAATTTTATCAACAAATTTTTAAATAATTGAATTCTCATGACAAATTTTAATAGAGTTATTAAGAATAATTGCATTTTTCGAGAAATTTGATGAAAATTGTATTAAAAATATTTGAAATTCTGCCAAGAATTTTATTATTATTTCAAAAATACTTGAATTCCTGAGAAGAATTTTATGATTTATGAAAATAATTGAATTATTGTGAAAAATTTTATTAAAATGTTTAAAAAGAATTGAATTTCTGTGAAAAATCTTGTTATTTGTGAAAATAATTGAATTCCTGAGAAGAATTTTATTATTTTTAAACAATATTTAATTTTTTCGAAGAATATTATTACTTTTGAAAATAATTGATTTTCTGTCATTTGGAACTTTTCCAAAATTAAATTTTTTTCCGTCTTTTTAACTAAAATTATTCTATAAATGCATTATTTTTATTAATTTTTGAAAAATTTCCTTGAGAATTTTTAAATTCATTTGTTAACAATTTAATTTTACAAAATATTCGATTATTCAGAAATTCACGCTCTAATGCTTTTAATATTCAATTATAATCTAAAATTTAAACTGAAATCCTCTTTTTAATCAATTATTGGTAGAAAATTGTACTAGAATTCAATTTTTTAAATAGAAAAAAAAATTAATTGAATAATTGCATGTTTCTTAAAATTGAATTCTCACAAAGAATTTTACCAATAAATTTTTAAGAAAAATGTTCACTTCTCGAGGAATTTGATTAAAATTGTATTAAAAATAATTGAAATTCTGCAATGAGTTTTATTATTTATGAAAATAATTGAATTTTTATTAAAGTAGTAGATATTAAAAATCATTGAATTGAGGAAAGTTTTTGAAAATAATTAAAATTTTGCCAAGAATTTTATTAAAATTTTTGAAAATAATTGAATTTCTCCATTAATTTGCAATTGTTTCAAAATTCAATTTGTTTTAGTGTTTTTAACTAAAATTCTTCTATAAATTTATTATTTTTAATAATCAATTAAATATATATATATATATATATTAAAAAATTTAACATAATTTCAGAAGAATTTTAGTTTAAAAATTTTTTTTTAAATCTAAGTTTTTTTTAAATATTTTTAATTAAATTCATTTAAAATTTAAATTTTACAAAATTTGAAATAAAAATCTTTTAAAGTTCATCTACTTATGGAAATTGTAAACGCAATTCTTTTAAAATTGAATTAATTTTGAAATATTTAAGTGAAATTATATTTCAAAAATAAGCACAATAACTTTATAAAACAACAATTTTCCAGGATTACGATCAAAATTCCCTGACTTTTCCAGGTTTTTTCAATGTTTATAAAATTTCCTGACATTTCCAGGTTTTTCAGGTTTTCAGGTTGTGTAGCAACCCTGAATAGAAAAACTGAAAAAAAAATTATTTGATTCAAATAAGCAATTATTTGACTATTATCAATTAAATATTTGATTGAATCAAATAATATTTATTCGAGTCAATTATATGGTTCAGTTCATATTTGCTCCAAATACTGAAATTATTGGTTCAAATACCATTTAATTGTCTCCAATAAACATTATTTGATTCAAGTAAATATTTAATTGGATAATAGTCAATTAATCGGTTATTTGAATCAATTAAATTTTTGTTTTCAGTGCAAGTAATCGGTTATTTTATTCAAATAAATATGTTTTTCAGTGAATTCATATTTATAATTATTTTTAATATTAATTAAATTCAATTAAATCCACCATTAGAAAATTTTGATTAAACTTCCATTTCTTGTTTACATTCTAGCGAGAAATGGATGAAATTTCCTTCATATACAGTACCGTCCGAAATTGTCAGTCCACCCATTTTTAAAGGAATGAAAAAAATTCTTTAACGTAAAATTCATGAAAACTAAAATTTTTTTTGGTTTATATTTTGTAAGAGGATAAAATTTTGAAAAGAATAAGACCTCACAGAAGTCATTTGGTCAAAATTTGTAGAAGATATTCTTAATAATCGTCATTTTCAATGTTTTACAAAAATTTGAATAACTTCTAAAATAATGAACGCTTTTTAATAATCTTAGGCTTATTTTAAAGGTCATTTTCTACGGAATAAGAATTACTTATAGGCATTAACCTGTAATTTTTTACTTGGAATAAGCATGACGTCAAAGTTGGACAAAAAAATTCAAAAAATTTGAAATAATGTTATTAAAAGAAAAATAATTTTTGAAATTCAAACATATTTTTTTATTAACTTTTCTTTAAAAATCTTCACCATATCATGGTTTATATATGTTCTAGAATAGTTTTTAGTACAAAAAATTTATTTCAAATTTTTCCAATTTTTTTATCCAACTTTGACGTCATGCTTATTCCAAGTAAAAAATTACAGGTAAATGCCTTTAAGTAATTCTTATTCCGTAGAAAACGACCTTTAAAATAAGCCTAAGATTATTAAAAAGCGTTCATTATTTTAGAAGTTATTCAAATTTTTGTAAAACATTGAAAATGACGATTTTTAAGAATATCTTCTACAAATTTTGGTCAAATAACTTCTGTGAGGTCTTATTCTTTTCAAAATTTTATTGTCTTTCAAAATATAAACCAAAAAAATTTTGAGTTTTCATAAATTTTATGTTAAAAAATTTTTTTCATTCCTTCAAAAATGGGTGGACTGACAATTTTGGCCGGTACTGTACATGTACAAAATTACGTAAAATAAATGAAGCTAAATATGTGCATATTATATTTTATTTTTAGAGACACAAAAAGGACTTGCGCCTGTTGAATTTGAAACGATGTTTTTGTATGCAGTTACTTAAGCTGGATAAAAATAATACAGGGCCTTCACTGAAGAACATCCTCTTCTTTTCTTATATGAATATCATTTTCAAGTGCGTGCTTGATAATATCATACTAATCAAATATTAAGCAAACGTGCTTAGTCGGGCATTCTTCTCATTCACTGTTCTTTTCACATTACGTGTATAATTTGAAATTCGTGATTTTCCCTCTTGGATTTCTGTCGACTTTTACAATAATTGTAACAATCAACAAAACAACAATAAAGAATCACTGCCTCTCTCTCCGGACTCTAAAAATCAAGAATCGAAAATAAAATTTAATTTTTCTCAAATAAAAAAAAAAAAAAAAAAAAAAAAATTAATTTCTTTTTTTTTATTCTAAAAGAATTTTCGTACTTTTAATTTTGTATACTTGTTATTAAAAAAGAAAACACGACGTAAATTCGAAAGAAAAGAATTGTAGAATTCTATATTATCGAGAAGAGGGAATTTATCGTCGAGGCAATAAAATTTCTCGTCAAGCAACTAACAGATGGCAGAAGTATTCGAAAAAATGGAAATTCAACATTTCTATGCAAAATAAAGAGATAAATATGCTAATTTTCCAAAGCGAGTATATATATGTATGTATAGTTGTGAACATTGGGAAAATTATTTCTCAATATTTTAAAGATCCAGTTAACTGTATATATAGCTAATTATAATAAAATTACTTGTGAAGCGGCTTCGAAACGAGAAGGTAAATTCTCTAGGGCGGCAATAGGATAAGAAATTTCAATACTTTCCATTTCTTGTTTTTCACTTTCTTCCTCAGATTTGTCAGTAACGTAGGATTCACTTGAATTTAATTCCGAAGACGAGTAAGATTTGTTGCTCGCGGAATAAGATAATTCAGTTATTTCTTCTTTCCTCAGCTTTGAAATTGGAATTTTTTTCCGCCCAAAAAAAAAAAAAAAATTGGAAGAAAATTGATGATTATTTTAATGTTCAATTAATGCTGTTAAATTATTAATAATTAATTATGCTAAATTATTTTTATTTAAATTTAAATTATTTAAATTATTTAAATTTAAATTATTTTTATTTAATTAATAATGCTAAATTATTTATGTTTAAATAATACTATCAGACTTTGCACTCGATAATTAATTTTAAAAAAGTAGCAAAAAAAGTAGTTATCGAAAAAATAAACTTGACGATAAAAAAAATTCGTTTTAGACACTTTGCAAAACTGACAAAAATTCCATTCCATATTTTTTATTTTCCTGATTTGTTCCTAATATTCATCGAAAATATTTCTTTCTTTCTTATTCTGTTATTCCTACAATGAATTTTTATTATTCATGAAAGAATTCAAATATTTATGAAAGTAATTTCATTCTGGCAAAATATTTTATAAAAAATTTTAAATAATTGATTTCTTTTTCGACTAATTTTATGCAAATTTAAATACCTAATTGAATTCCTGAGAAAATTTTATTATTCATAAAAAGAATTGAATTCTTATGAAGATTTTTACAACAAATTATTTATATAACTGAATTCTGTTTAGAAATTGTATGAAAACAGTAGCTATTAAAAATAATTGAATTGCGAAAAGTATTTAAAAAATAATTAAATTTCACAAAGAATTGAATTAAATTTTTTGACAATAATTGAATTCTTGCGAACAATTTTATTAGAATTTTTTTAAACAATTGAATTTTCAAGAAGAAATTTATTACTTTTAAGAATAATTGAATTCTTGTGATGAATATTGTTATTTATAAAAATTCAATTATATTTTTATAAATAACAATATTCATCACAAGAATTAAATTATTAAGAAGAAATTTATTACTGTTAAAAATAATTGAATTCTTGTGATGAATATTGTTATTCACGAAAATAATTGAATTTTGCAAAGAATTTTATTATATTATTATAAATAACAATATTCATCACAAGAATTCAATTATTTTTAAAAGAAATAAATTTCTTCTTTTACAATTTATGAAAATATTTGAATTACTGCGAGAAATTTGATAAAAAATTCTATAAAGAATTGAATTTCTGTAAAAAATTGTGTTATTTTTCAAAATATCTAGTATCTTAAATTTTATTTTAAATAATTAAATTCTGTATGGAAATCTTATGAAAATAGTTGATATTAAAAATCATTGAATTGCAAAAAGTTTTTAAAAATAATTAAATTTAACAAAGAATTCAATTAAAATTTTTGACAATAATTGAATTCTTGGGAACGATTTTATTAGAATTTTTTAAAATAATTAAATTTCCAAGAAGAAATTTATTACTTTTAAAAATAATTGAATTCTTGTGATGAATATTGTTATTTATAAAAATATAATTGAATTTTGCAAAGAATTTTATTAAAATGCTTCAAAATAATTGAATTCTTTCAAAGAATTTTACAATTATTTATGAAAATAGTTGAATTACTGCGAGAAATTTTATTAGAATTTTTATAAAGAATTGAATTTCTGTAAATAATTTTGTTATTTTTGAAAAAAACTACCTTTTTAAATTTTATTTTAAATAATTAAATTCTGTTTGAAAATCTTATGAAAATAATTAAGGAAGATTTCGACTTAATTATTTTCGAATTAATTTCGACTTTTCTTATGAAAATAGTTGATATTAAAAATTATTAAATTGCAAAAAGTTTTTAAAAATTATTAAATTTTACAAAGAATTCAATTAAAATTTTTTACAATAATTGAATTTTTGCGGACGATTTTATTAGAATTTTTTAAAATAATTGAATTTCCAAGAAGAAATTTATTACTTTTAAAAATAATTGAATTCTTGCGATGAATATTGTTATTCACGAAAGTAATTGAATTTTTGGGAATAATTTTGTTATTTATCTTTAATAATTGAATTCTTTCGAAGAATTATTTATGTGAATAATTGAATTCATGGAAAGAGTTTTATTGAAATCTAAAAGAATAATTGAATTTTTTAAAAACAAATTTAATTAAAATTGAATTTAAAATAAATAATTTTTTTCCACCAATTTTATTAAAATATTTAAAAATAATTGAATTCCTGTGAAAATTTTAATATTTTTTGTAAATAATTGAATTCTTCCAAAGAATTTTAAATAATTGATTTTATCGAGGAATTCGTGTAAAATCGTATTAAAAATAATTGAAATCCTGCGATGAGTTTTATTATTTATGAAAATAATTGAATTCTTGCTTAGAATTTTATCAAAAAATTTGTCCAAAAAAATTGAATTTCTATGAAAAATGTTATTACATATTAGTGAAAGTAATTGAATTGTGAAGAATAATTGTATAAAAATTTTGTTAAATAATTAATTTTTTCGAAATTTTTTTGAAAATGCTATTCTTAACTAATTGAATTCCTGTAGAAATTTTATTATTTATGAAAATCATTGAATTTTGGATGAATTTCATCAATTTTTTTTAAATAATTGAATTTTTTTGCGAAATTTTATGAAAATAGTAAATATTGAAAAGAATTGAATTTCGAATATTTTTTGAGAATAATTGAATTTCGAATATAGTTTGAAAATAATTGAATCGTTTTAAAGAATTTGATTATAATTTTTGAGAATAGTTTTTTGATTTCAAGTATTAGCGAATTTAAAGTAGTGGAAATTCTCAAAAAAAAAAAAAAAAAAAAACAGAAATAGTAGCATAACGTAAAAAAAAGTTGTAAGTAGTAGGTTTTAGTAGATGAGTGCAAAGCCTGTACCATTAAATATTAACACTTAATTAATTTACATTTATTATTTATATTTGTTTATTAATACCACTCTCTAAATTTCAAGTAGTAAAAATATTCAAAAGAATTAAATAATATATAAATAAAAAATTTATTATATTAAGAAAACGTATTCAAATTTGCAAACTAAAGGAAAATTTTTACCATTCTCCAGTAATCGATCAAAATCCAAAATTGAATAAAATAAATAATCATCCCGAATATAGAGATAATACAAAGAACAAAATTATGAATAAAAATTGGATGATTCAATAATTCTTCATCAGTCACTTCATTGAGATTAATATGATTTTCGGCATGTCGCATAGCAGAAATCCCGCCTAGTAACATCAAAACTCCTCCAATGCCGCAACCTACAATAGCCTTTAAAGGTTTTATGACACTAAAATGTAACAACTAAAAGAAAATTTATATTAAAAATATTTCATCTCTTTGTTAGAATCAAAAAAAAAAAATATATTGTCAATATTTGACATTCAATTTATTTTCAATATTGAAAATATTGGAATTGAAAACAAAAAAGAAAAATAAATAAATAAAAATTGGAAAATAAAGGCAATAACAACTCACGACTAACGAATGACGGGTAAAAAATTTTGTAAAAAACCACAAGATACTGAAGATAAAACTGATAATCATGCAAATGCTGTAAATGAAGAAAATTGGATTTCTTTCTCCTGGTAAATCTGCGAGTGTCGGATCTTGTTTTTGACGAATATGATGAATTGCATGATGCACGTGATGAAATATTTCATCCATTAATGCTACGACCTAATTATTGCAATTTTTTTTTTAATATTCATTTACTTTTATTTATCTAATTAATAATTAATTATTTTATTTACTTATTCGTTCAATTTTTTATTTTATTAATTATTTTATTCATTCACTATTTATTTATTTCTTTTATTCATTTATTAATTATTTATTTCTAATTATTCATTTATTAAAAAAACCACTTGTCCGAATGTATTCGTGTAAAAAAGTTTTTTTACCTACTATTCCAATATTATTTATTTGTTATTTTTTTTTATAAATATAATAATAATTAATAACAATTTCCATAAAATTTTGAACGTTCAAGTAAACGAAAAAAACTTTTTTCTATTCAAATATTTCTTTAAAAATTGTACAGAAATGAAAAATAATGTCAATGAAACATTTATGAAGTTAAAAATGATTTTTTTAAATGTAAAAATAATATTTTGTGATAAAATTTAAATTAAAAAGAGTAATACGTAAAAAATATTGTCGTTTATTTGAACGTTCAAATAAGGACCAAAATAATAAATAAAATCTAGTAAACAAATCAAGTAGACTCCGAAATAAAATATTAAATAAATTACACAAAATACTAAATATAAAAAAGAAATAAAAGAGAAATATAAAATAAATAATGAATATATTAATAAATACTAAAAAGCGGAAAATGAAAAGAGATGAAAAAAATGCTAAAAAAGAATAATAAATAATAATAAAAAGCTTGCAAAAAATGTTGCAACGAATTAAAAGAACTAAATTCTTTCCCCGAGGGAAAAAAAATTACAACGCGAAGAAGCTATAAAACATTTATTAAAAATCTTATTTATTTTTTATGAAGACGACCTAATTTTCAAAAATGTCTCATTTATGATTCACAATTATTCTTGAAACCAGGATCATTTAGTAATGAAAGAAAAAAAAAATGAAAAAAACTTTTTAATTACAGACATTACTTGTGTCGATCTTCATTATTATTTATCTTATCTTCAAAATAAATTTGCCTATATTACACATTTATTTCTCATAATGTATTCGGTTACAAATCTCGTTCCATTTTCTACATATTTATATTCTGACTAAAGCATATATTTTTATAAACAAAAATAAAACAAAAGTATACTCCTCTATATGCATTTATATAATTTCTAGTTAAAAGACACAGGGAATATTTGCATTATATAGATGTACGTACATATTATGAAAAAGAAAGAAAAACATATTTTGTTCTAGTTTTTAATCTGGTTATTAAATTTCAAATAACTGAAAAACTGTGTCACACATTGCATGTATTTTTATGAAATTTTAAAGATATTTGAAAAAAAAGATTCGAGAAATATTTTATCGAGGAATTATAAGGCTGTCAGTTTCAATTAATTTTCATTTTTAAATTTTTAACTATGCAATTTTAAGTGATATTGATTTTGTGATTAAAAGGTTTTAAATTTAAATTTATATGTCAATTTTTAATTAAATTTTTTATTAATTTAAATTTAAATTTTTAACTAACAATACTTATGATCCAAAAGTTTTTTACGTTCAAATGAACATTCAAATTCAAAATTTTTTTTTCTTAAAAATAAAAAATTATTTGCCATCCAAATTTTATTTGGTATTTCCCTGATTTTCCCCTTTCACAAATTTCTAAATTTAATTATTCAAAACTTGAATAATTTTGTTAAATAAATATTTAAATACTTCTTATTTGTTTTTTCACGGAAAATAAAATTTTAAAAACTTCAATTTTTAAATCTTTTGAAATTGAATAGATTCAAAAAGTACAATTATAAATTATAACCCTTCAAAAATTAAATTATTTTTTACAATTTTCAACTAAACTTCATCTCTAAATCAATTATTTTTATTAATTTTCCTTAAGTTCTTTGTAAATTCAATTATTCAAGTAAAAAAATTCAATTTTTTATTCAGTTTCAAATTATTCAATTTTTTATAATAATTGTAACTGTCCATATTTTTTCTCAAATCATTAAGGTATATTATTTTCAAAATATTATAAGAAAGAAATTTTTTTAATTAATTTTTTAAAAATATTCTTAAATCATTTTTGAAAGAAAAAAACTATTAACTATTTAAAAACTATTGTTTTTAAATTTTATGCAATGGAAAAATTTCCAAATAATTAAAATTTGGTAAAATCTTTTACAAATAATTGTATTTTTGAAAAATATTTTTAAAAATAATAAAATTATAGAAGAATTTTAATCATAAATATGAACATGATTTTTCCAAAATTTTAATAAGTCAAAAAATGTAAATTTTAAAAATATTTTAATTTCCTTTGTTCGAAGACATTTGAATCTTAAAAAATTATGATAAAATAATTATAAGAATCAGTTTTTAAAAACATTGTAATGTAATTTTTGGAAAATAATAATTGAATTTATTAATAGAATTTTTGTATAATTAAAAAGAAAACTAATTCATTTTTTTGAAGAATTCTAATAAAATTTAATATTATTCTCTTTTGCATGTATTTAAATTTTTGGAAATATACGTAATTGAAAATATTGAAAATAATTGAATTTTAAAAAATTAGAATGAAAAAAATTCTAAGTATTACTTTTTTTAGAAAAGATTTTAATATAATTTTTAGAAGCTAATTTTCATTATTTTCATTTTTTATTAAAATTTTTGAGAATTCAATTATTTTTAAAATTTGACATTAAAATTCTTCAAAAGTTGATTTTTAAAAATTGTCAGAAAATACTTGAAAAAAATCTTATATTTTCAATTCAATTCCACAAAATTTCAAATATTCAAAAATTTCTTAATTGTATTTTTCGAAATTTTTTCAACGTAATTGAAAATAGTGAAAATAATTGAATTTTAAAAAATTAGAATGAAAAAAAATCTCAGAATTACTTTTTCTGAAAAATATTTTAATATAATTTTTAGAAGCTAATTTTTATTATTTTCATTTTTTATTAAAATTTTTGAGAATTCAATTATTTTCAAAATTTCCAATTTAAATTAATCAAAAGTTGATTTTCAAAAATTGCCAGAAAATACTTGAAAGGAATCTTATATTTTCAATTCAATTCCACAAAATTTCAATTATTCAAAAATTTCTTAATTGTATTTTTCGAAATTTTTTCAACGTAATTGAAAATAGTGAAAATAATTGAATTTTAAAAAATTAGAATGAAAAAAAAATCTCAGAATTATTTTTTCGAAAAATATTTTAATATAATTTTTAGAAGCTAATTTTCATTATTTTCATTTTTTTATTAAAAATTTTGAGAATTCAACTATTTTTAAAATCTGCAATTAAAATTCTTCAAAGACTGATTTTCAAATATTGTCAAAAAATACTTGAATAGAATCTTATATTTTCAATTAAATTCCACCAAATTTCAATTATTCGAAAATTTTTTAATTCTATGTTTCGAAATTTTTTCAACGTAATTAAAAATATTGAAAATAATTTAATTTTAAAAAATTAGAATGAAAAAAATTCTCAGAATCACTTATTTTGAAAAATATTTTAATATAATTTTTATTATTTTCATTTTTTTATTAAAATTTTTGAGAATTCAATTATTTTCAAGATTTGCAATTAAAATTCTTTAAAGATTGATTTTTAATTATTGTCAAAAAATACTTGAAAAGAATTTTATATTTCAATTATTCCAAAATTTCTTAATTGTATATTTCGACATTTTTTCAACGTAATTGAAAATAATATTTAATTTTGAAAAATAAGAATAAAAAGAATTCTAAGAATGACTTTTTTTGAAAAATATTTTAATATAATTTTCATTATTTTCATTACTTATTAAAATTTTTGAAAATTCAATTATTTTCAAAATTTACAATTGAAATTCTTCAAAAGTTGATTTTCAAAAACTGTCAGAAAATACTTGAAAAGAATCTTATATTTTCAATTAATTTTTTCCAAATTTCAATAATTCCGAAATATTTTATTTGTTTGTTTCGAAAATTGAATTAGAAAAATTATTCCAAAAATATTTTTTGAAAAACTTGACTATAGTTATTTTTAAATAACTATTGTTTCGATTTTAAAAAAATCGAAACAAGTTGCGTTTAATACTAAAAATTCGGTATTTTGTTGCAATATTTGGAAAAATAGTCGAAAAAGTCGCATTTTTTAAAAATAAGTGAAAAAAATTCGAAAAACTCATAATATCTGAGTTTTTTTTTATTGAAACAAAAAACTTGGTTAAATGCAATTTTTCGCAATTGAATATTTTTATTTGATTTAACCAAACACGTCAGTGTTTGGTTCATTCAAATAAAAATTTTCGATTGAAAAGCATTTTTCAAAAAGAAGTCGAAAAATTTGTATTTTTTGAAAATAGTTGAAAATATAAAATTATATAAAAATATAAAAATATAAAAATATAAAAATATAAAAATATAAAAATATAAAAATATAAAAATATAAAAATATAAAAATATAAAAATATAAAAATATAAAAATATAAAAATATAAAAATATAAAAATATAAAAATATGAAAATATAGAAAAATAAAAATAGAATATAAAACACAGAAATAGAAATATAAAAATTTAGAAATAGAAAAAAAATATAATTAATAAAAACTGGAAGATTAGTAAAAGAAGAAAGAAAGAAAAAGAAAAAGAAAAATGTTTGCGGAATGAAGGGAATTTCTTACAAATTGTGCAAAATTGAAAGTGCCATGGACAATGTGAGATAGATTTGTATTTCTAGTGAAGACTGAATCCCCTTTATGATAAATGTTGGCAATTTTAGCAGCTTCTTGCAGCTGAAGAAGTTCCACGGCCGACGCATCGGCGATTGAAGGCCTTCTATTTTCTTCAACTTTCATTTATAGGTCCATAAAGATTGTTGATCTTTTATGTGAAAAGTTAACAGTTTCAAATACACTTAACCTTGCCAACTGACATGAGAGAATGCGAACAGAATATGTTTTTGTTTCTTTTTAATATGCATTTCTTCTTCTTCTTCTCCCTCATCTCTTCATTCCAATTTTCATTCTTTAATTCTCTTTTTAATTACAATCATTGCCAAAATTTAATTTCAATTTTTTGAAATTTACCAACCTAATAATTCCCTTTGGACAAAAATTACGGTTATAAAACAAAATTAAGTAGAAAAAATGAATCAAAATAAATAAACAAACACAAAGTCTATGAAGTTTGCTATAAATCTTTTTTTCGTCTTCATTTCGTTCTGTTTCGTTCACTACAAGATCATAAAGAGAGAAAATATTTTTCTAATTAAATTTTTATATTTTTTCGCTTATTAATTTTTTACTAATTTTTCTTAGGAATTAAAATGGTAAATAGAAAAATTTTCCGATACATAAATATGAAGAAAAAGAGCGGAGAGAATTGACACATCTTTTAAAATATCAACTAAGTAACTTTGAATTGCTTTAGCGTTTAAATCAATGCAGATGTTTGCAACTAAAATAACGACCCTAATAAGTAAGTCGGACTTGAGATTGCCTTTCTCTTTTGCAGTGCTTAATTAATTACAGTCGCTTTAAAGCATCACATCTAGAAGGAATCATGAATATTATTTCTGACGCCGACTCTTTTTAATATCTCGCAGAATATAAATCCGCTCCAAGTTCATTTATATATATATATATATATGAGAAGAAAAAGAAGAAAACAATGATAATGAATTAATCTTGAAATAATTCGGTTTCAAGCTTTCTCAGTTGCGAGGATTATGGCGCCAGAAGAAAAATTCATTATATAGAGAATGGCGTATCTTAAATATTCATCTTAATTCGTTATATTTGAAAAGAAGTCTAATGATAAAAGTTATATGATCATTCTAAGAAGACAATTCGAATCAGGAAAATTTTTAATTAGATTGCTCAACTTGGGATTAAATTTAGTCTTGATTTAAACATTCGGTAGTGTTTGGAAATTATTTCTTCTTTTTTTCTGGAACGAAAAAAAAACAATGGCGAATTTTCTCATAAATTTTTAATTCTCAGCGTTTCAACCCACCAGCATCAGAAAATCAAAAATAAAAATTCATAACTCGAAATAATTTTGATCAAATAACGTTTTCTTGGTCAGAAATTAAAGACGGACTGAAGAATCAAAAATTTGAAAATGGTCGGAAATAAAAATTCATAACTCAGAATATTTTTGACCAAATAATGTCTTCTATAGGTCGGAAATTAAATAGAAACGTAATGAACTTTACAATTTGGACAATTGCGAATTTTTTCATAAATTTTCTAATTGTCAGCGTTTCAATCTGTTCGCATCAGAAAACCAAAAATTTGAAAATGTCAGTGCTGCCAGATGATTAAAACTACAAATCTTCAAACTTTTCTTATTTATCTTCAGAAATCTTTAAACTAGTCAAAAGAATTTCTTCACATTTTGATGGTTATAATTTTTTCTAAAGTATTATAAATGAAATTAAACAAACAATTTTAAAAAAATAAATAAATTTTGTTGGTTATGTTTGAATCTGTTCGCAGTTGGAAGTTAAACTTTTTTAATAAACTTTCATTCTCAATCTTTGAAATTTTAAAATTAATGCACTATTTCTAAATTCTTGATTTTTATCAAAAAATTTGAAAATAATTAAAGTTTGACGAATTTTATCAAAATTTTTTTTTAAATAATTGAATTCTTTCGAAAAAATTTAATTAAACTTATATTGGCAAATAATTGAATGCTCACAAAAAATATTATTATTTATAAAAAGAATCAAATTCTTTCAAAGAATGTAATTAAAATTATTGAAAATAATTTAATTCTCAACAAGAATTTTATTAAAATTTTTTTTAAATAATTAAATCTTTTCGTGAAATTTTCATTAAAATTGGTTTTGAAAATAATTGAATTCCTGCGATGAATTTTACTTTTTATAAAAATAATTGAATTCTTCGAAAGAATGTTTTATTAAAATGTTTGAAAATAACTTAATTCTTATTAAGAATTTTATTACAAATTTTTTTTTTGAAATAATTTAATTCTTGCAAAAAGTTTTTAAAATTAATTAAATTTTTCGAGGAATTAATTTAAAATTTTATTAAAAATAATTTAATTCCTATAAAAAATTGTATTATTTATAAAAATAATTGTATTCTTACACAACGAATTTTATTACATTTTTTTAAATAATTGAATTTATGTGAAAGATTTTATTATTTGTAAAAATAATTGAATTCTTACGAAGAATTTTATTAATTTTTTTTTTTTAAAATTGAATCTTTTCGTGAAATTTTAATTGAAATTGTTTTTGAAAATAATTGAATTCCTGCGATGAATTTTACTTTTTATAAAAATAATTAAATATTTAATTTAAATATTTAAATAATTAAATAATTAAATAATTGAATTCCTGTGAAAAATTTTATTATTTATGAAAATAATTTTATTCCTACACAAAGAATTTTATTACATTTATTTAAATAATAGAATTTATGTGAAAGATTTTATTATTTGTAAAAATAATTGAATTCTTATGAAAAATTTTATTAAAATTTTTGTAAATAATTTGCTTTTTTCAGAAAAATTTTAGGGATATTTAAATTAATATAAAATATGAAATTCAAAAAGGTTTGATTATGAAATTTTTGAAAATGTTAATTACTATCAGTGCTGCCAGGTAATTAAAAATTTTCTTCAGAAATTTTTCAACTAGTAAAAAAAATTTCTTCAAAATTTTGGTTACAATTTTTTGTAAAGTATGATAAATGAAATTAAATTTCACAAACAATTTTAAAGAAATAAAGTAATATTGTTGTGTTTTAATCTGTTTGCAGTTTGAAGTTAGTTTTTGTTTGCTACTCAACTTTTTTAATAAATTTCCTTTTTTAATGTTTTAAATTTTAAAATTAATTCACTAAAAATTACTAAATTCTTGTAAAGTTTTTATCCAAAAATTTGAAAATAATTAAAGTAATTCGAAGAATTTTATCAAAAATTTTTTTAAATAATTGAATTCTTTCGAGAAAATTTCTCGCAAAAAATGTTATTATTTATAAAAAGAATGAAATTCTTCCAAAGAATGTTATTAAAATTATTTAAAATAATTTATTTCTTAACAAGAATTCTTATAAAAATTTTTTAAAATAATTGAATATTTTCCGTGAAATTTTATTAAAATTGATTTTGAAAATAATTGAATTTCTGCGATGAATTTTACTGTTTATAAAAATAAGTGAATTCTTCGAAAAAATGTTTTATTAAAATTTTTGAAAATAACTTAATTCTTATCAAGAATTTTTTTTAAAAATTGTAGAAAATAATTTAATTCTTGCGAAAAAGAATTGTTAATAAGTAAATTTTTTAAATTTTGAATCTGAAATTATTCAAAAATTGATGTTTATATTTGAAAATATAAAATTTTTTAATTTGCAAAATAATAAATAAATAAATAGAACTGTAACATTTATACTGTAGTAATTAATAATTATTACATTTATTATTATAATCATAAGAATTAAAAGAACAAAAATTATAATTTATTTTTAAAAAATGGTTTGCTTATATTATTTAAATCTTTATAAATATTTTCATTATTATTTGATATATACACAGATATATACTTGATATATACTTGATAATATACAATATTTCTTGAAATTCTTCAAATATCGCAGATTGCTTTAATTTTCTTTAGTTTTGAAGAAAAATCTTCCAATCTGGCAGTACTGTTAAAAATGGTCAAAAATAAAAATGCATAACTCGGATTATTTTTGACCAAATAATGTTTTTTTGGGTCAGAAATGAAAGAGGGATTTACGATCTTTAAAATTTGTTAAATTTCAGACAGTTCTTAAAATAAGATTCACTTTTTACTGTGAGGGACAGTTTTTGATTTAATAAAAATTATGAAATTATTTTTTCCCCTTTCTTTCTGTTACGTATATAAAAAAAAATTTTGTTATGTGATTAAAAAAAAGTAATAATGAAGAAATACGATTACAATACGCATATAAGAAAAATTGTTACAAATTTTTATAACCTTGTACAGTCTTGAATGAATACGCGTTTTCTAATATTTTCATATTTTCTTAAATAACACTCTGACCTTAGTTCACTTTATGTATTATACACGTACTTTTACTTTTGTCGTACTAAAAAAATGAATATTTCAATTAACAATTTAAAAAAAAGGAATGCGCGTTGCTCGCTTCAAGTTTAATGAGGTGAAAAAAAATTGATCAATCATTTTGATTTTTCTTTTATGAAAGCAACATTTATAACGTGCTGGGATTAGCTTCGTAGAATATTGCAGTTTGTCAGAGAGATACTTGCACACATCATGTATCTAGCTTCCTCGATGCCTATCTTGTTCGCACATTCCAGCATCACTTCGCCTGGCAAACTCATTTATATATACAATTTCCCACATATACACAAATATTTAATTTCTTCCCGCGAACAATGTCACGTTTTCATATATATGATTTGCGTCCTTGTAATCTTTTATTTACCCATTTTGCAATCAAATTAATAAACATTTTTCTTAAAACAAACACTTCTCTTCCTGTATATTATTCGAATTCAGTTTCTTTTGGGTTAATTTTTTCTTTTTGAAAATTTCTTCTTCTTCTATATTAATAATCGTTGTATTTCGATAATCTGTTCGCAGTTTGAAATTATTTGTTGTTTGCTTTTTTGTTTCCTAACTTTTTAAATAAGTTTTCTCCGTAAAATGTTTTTAATTTTTAAATTAATGTACTGAAAATCATTGAATTCTTGCAAAGTATTTATCCAAAAAATTTGAAAATAATTGAATTCATTTCAAGAATTTTATCAACATTTTTCCTCATAATTTAATTCTTTCAAAAAATGTAATTAAAATTGTATTGGAAAAAAT